CCCACACCTACCACATATATATATACATTAAAAATCGGGTAACTAACACGCACCCACATACACACATTTACACATACAAACGCACACANCTCATTCACACAAACACGCACACACTCATTCACACATACACACACACACACACACACACACACAAACACACACGCACACACACACACGCACACACACACACGCACATACACATATGGATAATAATTATTGATCAGCAGCCAGTGCATACTCAATGAACATAAACCCGAGCCACGGTCAGCAGGACGGCTCTAAACAACAAGTGCAACAGCAGAAACAAGAGTCAAAACTCTTTAGGTCTGAAACGATGACTCTGCCCACAACTGCAACGGCGGCTACGAACTTCAATAAAGACTCGACAGCAGCTACAGCAGCAGCAGATGATAACAATCAAATGGGACTTAAAAGCAGGAAAATTGCATTCACCGATTACATGATAAACAGTAACAAAATGAGGACCACCACAATTGCAATGATTAACAACTTATCGTCCATTCGCCGGCGTGACCTCTCGTGCCAGCCGCAGATGACCACAACCACGGCAACGGCATTTCTTGCTGCTGCCGCGACGACTGCAGCCAGTAAACAACAGCAAAAACGACAGCGTTCCTTAGCACAGCCACCAAAACCACCGATTACCACAGCTTCGTACAAAATGACGGCTTCAACCACAGAACAGTCCACAAATCCTGGCGTTGTGAAGTATGACTCAAAGAAGTTATCCAACTCGATAAACTGCCTGGCCAACACCAGGAAAAGATCAGGGTCTACCCAGGTCGGCGGTGGGTTTCAGTTAGGGATGGGGTCCGTGAAGCTGGGCAGGCGGACGGGGAGTATTGGGTTCCGATTGAACACGCAGCAGCAGCACCAGCAACAGGTAGATGCTTTTAGGGGTGACATCGATAATAATAATTACTGTGAGGGCTCTGTCGGGGATAGGAGTAAAACTGGCTGTAAGAAAAATACTAAAGCTACTATTACTACTACTACAGCTGCTGCTGCTGCTACTACTTATGCTGCTAAGAGAAATACTATGAACGATGATGCAAATTGTGACGCAGTTAACGATGGGGGCCTGGTTGCAGATGTTGCAGATGACGTAATGAGTATCAATTATGACGGCAGTACTGATGACGATCGAAGCAAAGTTAAGAGGAGTCAGAAAAGTATTACAAGAGGCAATGATAATGATGATGGTGATGATAATGAAGGAGGTGATCATCATCATTATCATCATTCTCGTCAGCAGCAGCAGCAGCAACAGCAGCATCAGCAGCCTCACGTAGAAAGGCCAAAAGAGCGCAAACAGCAGCAGCAACAGCCACTTAATAAACAACAATCGAAACACCAGCGTACTAAGAATAGTTAGTTTGTATGTTTGTTTGTGTTGTTTGTTTGTGTTCTTTGATTGTATGTTTGTGTTGATTGTATGTTTGTGTTGATTGTATATGTGTATGGATTGTATGTGTGTGTGTTTTATTTGAGTTTGTGGTTTTGTTTGTATGTTACCTTTGTATAAAACACAGGTGTTCAACTTTGTATTAAATTTGTCATGTTTGTAATTTAAATGTTAGTATGTATAACATTTTTAAATTAATTTTTTGCATTTGCATACATATGTATCTACATATGTATTTATGTTGTTGTTGTTTTATTGTTATTTTTTGTCGTCGCATACATTTGTAGAGTATTTATGTGTACAATGTTGTATTTTTTTTATATATGGAAAAGTTTGTATATATGTGTTGATATTTGTTTCATCAAGTGCTTGTTGTACATTTATAACACATGCATACATGCAATAATGTACGCAAGGTAATTATATATTCATATTGATACACACATTCATTTCATACACGTACACACATAAGTACACACATACACAGTGCATGCATGTTACAACTTTGCATGGCTTATTTCACTATTTCACTATTTCATATTTCACTATTATTCAAGTTTTTCTTTATTATTAGTAGCATGTCATAATGGTCGTTGTTGTTATTATTATTATTATTATTATTATTGTTGTTGTTATTATTATTATTGTTGTTGTTGTTGTTACCCACTAATATGTACTTATATCTTATTTTCCCACTAAAAATCTTTCAGATTTTAGTTATCATTGTTATCTATAACAGACTCATTTAGAATTATTATTGTTATTTTTTTTGTTATTATTTTTGTTATGGTTTTTTTTGGTTATTTGGTTTGGTTAGTTAGCATTCTCACATTAGCTTAATCTGTTTTATGTTTTCATTTTAGTTTTTCATGATTTAGTGTGTGTAATTATGTGTGCGTGTGTGTGTGTATGTGTGTGTGCGTGTGCGTGCGTGTGCGTGCGTGTGTGTGTGTGTGTGCGTGTGTGTGTATGTATATATGTATGTATGTATGTATGTATATATGTATGTATGTATGAACCTATGTACGTATGTATGTGTGCACGTATGTATACAAAAAATACAATACAACGCAATTTACAAAGCATTAGTCACAGAAGAATCTCAAAAGTCTTCACTAAAAAAATAAACAAAAAATAACAATCAATGTTAATAACAACAATCAAAGTCCTGACTTAAGCAATCAGAGCAAACATTTTGAATCCAACGAGAATAAATAAGTTTTCAGCTCTTTCCTAAATGCAGTTAAAGATGTATTTGGTCTTCCTAGCGAAGCTGGCTGATTGTTTCAAATGACAGTGCCATTAAGTGCCACGTCAGGCGATCCAATTTGCAATATAGCTACTGGTGCAGCTGGTAGGCTCATACCATCCCAATCTCAAACGCCAGTCCTCTGCCGATGTTTCTTTGATGAAATTACACGTTAACTTTTCTGGAGCTAGGCAGTGTAATGGTGGAAGCATTGATTTTGAAAATTGTTTGTATGTCTGTGTGTATTTATGTCTGTGTGTATGTATGTATTTATGTTTGTTTGTATGTATGTATGCATGTATATATGTATGTTTGTTTGCAGGAATGCATGCATGTATGTGCGTGTTTAAGTATGTAAGAAAGTATGTAAGCATGTTATTACAATTACCTAATAAATATAATGTATGTAGAAGAATGCATGTCCAATTAATTACTTAACTGAATGATCGGTTGTTTAGCCAGTCGACTATTGACTAATATAATAGACTGATGACTATTGAATTATATTAAATGCATGCTTGTTTGTATTATGTTAATTTTGAAATGTTCTAGAGAGATATCTGGAATGTTCTATGATGATCTGAAGATTGCCATGAATATTCCAAGAATAGCGCGCACTTTGGAGCCTTCTAGATCGTTCTAGAACATTCCAGAATAATCCAGAGCGTTATAAAACAATCTGGGATGTTCTAGAAGGATATGAAAAGTTATCGTTGCTATCCTTTCAGCCGCATTTCCCGCCACTTGCCTTGGCCTCTGTCTTTGCTATCTTATCTCAATATTAGTGCATGTTGTGTTGTTGTTGTTGTTGTTCGTGATTTAGTTTTTCTACGGTTTTGTTGTTGTTGTTGTTGTTGTTACAGATGATAAGGTGCTTATGTTGTTGTTGTTGTACGATTGTTGTTAATATGTTGTTCGTGATTTAGTTTTTCTACGGTTTTGTTGTTGTTAGTAATGATAAGGTGCTTATGTTGTTGTTGTTGTACGATTGTTGTTGTTAATAATATTTATTATTATTATTATTTCTATGTTATTATTCATCATTTATTTGTGATGTACGTGTCAATTGAATTGTTATTGCTGATTGTTGAAACAAGAGGATATTGTTGCTGATTGCGGTTTTGTTGCTTCTTACTGCTGAAGCTGGTGTTCTTCTTGATGTACAACGGCGATTTTGTCGTTGTTGTTGATGTTGTTGTTTTTGTTGTTGTTGTTGTTGATGATGATGAGGATGTTGTTGTTGTTGTTGATGATGTTGTTGATAATATAGTTGTTGAGGCTATTGTTGAAATTTGTTGGTAATATAAGTTGAGAAGAAGACTTAACTTTCTGCCTGGGCAAAAATGCTGCTTATAAATCAATACTTACAACAACAAACACAGTAAAAATGATGATGCTAATAGTAGTAGTAATCATATAAGCTATAACAACAACAACATTAATAATAATAATAATAATAATAATAATAATAATAATAATAATAATAATAATAATAATAATAATAATAATAATAATGATAATAACAATAACAACAACATTAATAATAATAACAATAATTCATTTTTTCCATCCATAATAACGATCACAACGACAACAGCAACAGTTCTATTGGTAACTTAGCTATAGTAAAAATAATAATATCAATGTGTAATTATTATTATTATTATTAATGTTATTATTATTATTATTATTATTATTATTATTATTTTAACTGTTGTAATCTTCAGTTTAACATTATCGGCAAAGCACTTCTTGTGAACATGAGTGGTAAACAACAACAATAATAATAATACTAAATTTAATAATAAAATAATAATAATAATTATTGTTATTATTATTAATAATAATAACAATTGTTATTATTATTTTTATTAGAACATGGTGGTGCTATGTTAATGAAAATAATAAGAAAGAGGCCTTAGATCATAAAGTCAAGTGTAAATAGATGCAGATTATCTTGCTTTCATCCATCCATCCATCCATCCATCCATCCATCCATCCATCCATCCATCCATCCATCCATCCATCCATCCATCCATCCATCCATCCATCCATCCATCCATCCATTGATTCATTCATTCATTTGTTCACTTACATTTCTATTTATTCATTTGTGCATCAGTTTATTTATTTTTACTTTTATTTCATTCATTCATTCATTCATTCATTCATTCATTCATTCATTCATTCATTCATTCATTCATTCATTCATTCATTCATTCATTCATTCATTCATTCATTCATTCATCAACTTGTTTGAATTTTTTTGTTTGTTCATTGTTCGTTCGTTTGTTTCATGCTCTTTTGTTTGTTCATCCATTCATATCTTTTTTCATCTGATTTATTTTGTTTGTCTGTTTAGTTGCCCCTTTTTAAATGTTCACTTGTATCATAGTAGGTTTATACTGCTGTATAATGTGCATCTGTATGATTCTTCTGTCTTTAATTACGACAGCTCTAAACTCTCCCAACTATCTATTGATTCATTTACTTCTTTAATCATTCATTCATCTATTCGTTTGTTTATTCGTTCGTTCATTCATTCAGTCAGCCAACCAATCAGCAACCAAACACACACCAACCAATCACCAATCAACAACCAACCAATTAATAACCACCAACCGACCACCTACTCATTAATCAAAGCACCTCTGGGCCTCTCAAAAAGTTGCGGTCACTCGGAAGCCACCCTGTCCACAATAACAGCCACCACACCCCTCTATCCCCCCCAAAACAAACTGCCCCTCAACCGCGCTTCGACACCCGTTACAACGACGACAACACCGACGACTGCCAACAACAATAGCAGATATAAATCACTGAGAAAGTCTCTGCCGAACCGCAACAACAACAACAGTTACAATAATAACTACAACAACAGCAGCAGCAACGCGAGTAGAAACACCACGCCGGCTTTCTACTCGACGAGCACAACTCCAACGACCACCCCAATAGGCGGGGGGTCTGGCGCTACGACCATGAAGAGGAGGACCCGGAGTACCTTGCCCAACTACACTAGCGCCACTGTTTCGTTTCAGATTAGGGTAGATAGGGTTTTGAATGGCTTGGTAGGTGGGTTTGGAGGTGCATTTGGGGGGGCCAATGGGGGCGGTCCTGGGACTTTCGGAGGGAAGATTAGGGATGAGTTCGGATCTCACGGGCGAGTTATGTGTCCGAGATTTAGTAAGTTTTCTGTGTCGATGTCTTTGATTGTGGTGTGGATGGTGACGCTGTTTGTGGTGTTGTGTTGACGTTGATGATGATGTTGCTGGCGAGTGGTGTGTTTAATTGTTTAGGTTTATTATTTAAATGATTTATTGAATCGGTTACTAGGGAAGTAATTTGAGGGAGTGAATTATTTTTAATTGTATTAATGAGTGAATGAGTTTTTTGTTTAAAGGATTGACTGAATGGGTAAAAATGAGTGATAGAGTGAACGAATGAGTGAATAAATGAATGAATAAATGAATGATTGAATGAATGATTGAATGAATGAATGAATGAATGGATTTATGAGTGAATGGACGGTTATAGTTGTTAAGTTCACTGGTTTAATTAAGTTTTAACCACTTTTTGCTGCTAATAAAAATCAATGATTAATATATTCTAATAGTTTTATTATTATTATGATCATTAACAATTAGATTATTATTAAAATAATAATCTTAATTACTACTACTAATATTATAATTATAGTTTCAAGTGATTATGTTTGTGGATTTTTTTTTCATTATTTTCAATTGTCTCCACTCTCCTAATCAAATTTTAAGTTACAAATTAGTTAGCCTTACTTCACCATTTTGGCAGATCTTCAATCTCGTTATTATTATTATTTATTATTATTATTATTACTATTTTTCATTGCTATACACACACACACATAGTCATTTATTTAGCAAGTTAATTATAACTAAAATTTATTATTTCATTCATTTGTTCAATTGAAATAATTTTATGACCATTTTTAACATTAATATCCATTGTTTAGTTATTTCGCACCTTATAAATATATATGTATGACATATATATATATATATATATATATATATATATATATATATATATATATTGTATATATAATATTATAATGTAAGGCTTATCTACGCTACTACAATTTTCTGTTTTATTTGATTTCGTTCCCATGCACATAAGTTTACTATTAGTGTCATTTCTTTGGGTCGTCATTATCATATTGGTGGACATCATTATCATACTGGTGGAGTTCATTATCATATTGGTGAACATCTTTATCATATTGGTGGACATCATTATCATATTGGTGGACATCATTATCACTTTTGTCAGGATCAGTTTCACCGACGACAGCTAAAAACCGTGCCAAAAGTGCTGGCAACATGAGACGCAGTCGTATAGACAACAGTACCACCACTAACATCAACACCACACCAGCAGCAGCTGCTGTTGCTACAACGGTTGCAGCAACATCTCAACAACAAAATGTGGCTGCTAAAAATGGCAGCATTGCTGCTGAGAAGTTTAAGTCTTCGTATGCTAAAGATAAAATGTTTGTAGTAGTTTGCTGTTTGTCTTAGTTGGAAGTGTTGTTTTCGTTAAAGGGTTGGGTTGATGTTGTAGTTAGGAAATCATGCGTATTTTGATGTCTTTGATGTTATTTATTTTTCTCTTGCTTAACGCTATTCTCATGACTGTGATTGTCCCATTTTTGCCAATGATTGTTATAATGTCGTCATATTTCTTGGTTGTTTCTTGCAGTGTCGGAGTTTTTTTGCTAGAGTCTGGGGATCGGAATCGTGGTATTTTCCATCCGACTCGGATAGTGTTAAAAATTCGAAATTTGAATTTTTTATCCTGAACAATAGATTTTGAACTTTTTTTAAAAAGTTCTATGTGTATAGCTACACGCAATAATCTTTGATACTAAAAATAGGTGCTATAATTTTTGCAGTAGATACAGCCGCCAGTAATAAGCTTTGCGCAATAATGGAGATATAATCACATAAATTATCTTTCAGTATATTTTAGAACATAATTATAAAGTAATTTTATTTCAGAAAACGGTTAGGTACATAGACCAATGTTAAATGCTTATTGAAGTAGATTACATTTAGTAGTGGTATTTAAGTAATGTTATAAGGAAAAGTTAAACGGATATTTTGGAAATCGAGAGCCGGAATAGGAAATTGTTACCTGGAGTCGGAATTTTTTCGATCAAAGAGTTGGAGACGCAAAAATGTTTATCCGATTCCGAGTTTTCCGTTTTTTGTTTATGTCGGGCGTATTGCTGATTACTGGCTGGTCATTTAGTTTCAATTGATGTTACCGTTATTGTTGTGGTTAGTTATGTCGTTGATGTTGTTCATCCATCTTCACAGGACTGCTAAACCAGCAGCAGCAGCAGCAGCAACAACAACCCAACAACAACAAACGACCATAGCTACAAAACCAAAACCGATTCGTCGCTCTAAGACACCGAACGCCGCTACAACCACCACAAAACAACCACAACTTGATAGCAACAACCTCAAAACATCAACAACAACAGCAAGAAAAAGTACTACAACATCAACAAACATCATGGCTAAATCCATTGACCCAGCTAACTTAGCTAGTCTTTTGAAAAGTAGTGGCAGTGGTAACTTTGTCGGCGTCTCAGCTGTGTTAAAGGCTAACAAGAAATCTGTCGATGGTGGTAAAGTGAATGGAGTAGCTAGTGGTGGATTCAAGGGACCTATCAAGGTTTTCTTTTCTTTTTGTTGTTGTTGTTGTGTTGTTGTTTATGACGTTGTTTCTATTCTAAATATAAGCAGATAAATAAATGTTTATAAAATGAAAAAACTTGAAAGTGCATATTTGTTCATTTTTATTTTGATGTTTTTTATAGCGTAAATATCTCAAATATTTATTTAATCTTGTATTCATTTTTTTCTCTTCACCTCCTTTCTGTTTTTTGCCGTCTCTTTCTCCTTATCTCTCTTTCTCTTTCTCTCTCTTTCTCCTTATCTCTCTCTTTCTCTCTTTTTTTCTCTTTCTCTCTCTTTCTTTCTCTTTCTCTCTCTTTCTCTCTTTTTCACACTTTTTTCTTTTCATTATATCTTCTTTCTTTAATTCTCTATTTTCTTTTCACTTCATCCACCTATCCTTTTTTTTCTCACTCACTGCTTCTACGTGGTGATCACAATCCAGGCCAACCCAACAGCCATGAAGGCAGCCTCATCAACGACATCGTCGACAGCTGCAATTAAGAAGCCGTCAGAACTCCCTCAGAACATCCAGCCCCCAAACACACCGATGCCGCTCGATGAGACACGACAGCAACAATCATCACAGCATCAATCATCGTCCTCCCAGAAATCATCGCCGTCGTCGCCGCTGTCGGATAAGGCAGGCGTAGTAGCAGCAGCAGCGGCAGCAGCAACATCATCGGCAACCAGCAGCCAAACTGAAGGAATAAAATTAATATCTACTAATTCAGTTATCAGTCAGAAGAAGTTACAGAAACATCAACAGTCTCAACAAGCTGCTAACGAACCTACTACAACTTCCTCTACTACGGACGACAATACTACCACCACCACCACCATCACTACTACTACTACTACTACTACTACTACTACTACTACTGCTACTTCGACCAATAGCAGGAAATCAAAAGGACAATCTAAAAATGATGATACATCAGCAGCAGCAACATCCTCGATGACAGCTGCGATTTCATCGGCAGCAGCAACAGCAGCTGCCACAAACGCTGGCAGCAAACAGCAGCAGATGAGTAAGGTTGAAGAGCATCAAAAAAGGCTGGCCGAGAACAGGAGGTTGGCCAGGGAGAAAGCTGAGAGAGAGGCAGAAGAGGAGAGGCTCATGCTGGAGAAGATGAAGTGAGTATTTATTTCTTTTTTAGTTGGTTGGCCGATTGGTTGGCTAGTTGGTTGGCTGATTGGTTGGCTGGCTGGCTGGCTGGCTGGTTGGTTGGTCGGTTGATTGGTCGGTTGATTGGATGGTTGGTTGGTAAGTTGGATGGTTGGTTAGTTGGATGGTTGGTCTGTCTGTCTGGCTATTTTGACTGGTTAGTTGGCATTTTGTTGACTCTCTGGCGGTTTTGACTGGTTGATTGGATGGCTAGTTGGTTGTTTGCTTACTGTCTATCCGTTTTGACTAGTTGGTTGGATGTTTTGTTGGTTGGTTGGTTGATTTGTTGGTGGTTTGGTTGGTTAGTTGGTTGGCTGCACTTTGTCCTGTTGTTTCATTCGATGGCTGATTAGTTTGTTGATTTTCAGGTCGGTTGTATAAATTGATTGTTTGTTGTTTGTCCATTAATTTTTTATAATGTGAATTAATAGTTCAATCAATCAATCAATCAATCAATCAATCAATCAATCAATCAATCAATCAATCAATCATTCTTCAACAAATAACTA